TACCTCATTTTTTTGAATCTCATCTGTACGCCTATGACTATTGCTGTCAGTTTCTGCATTATCTTGCTAAGCAGTAGATGAATAGTCCTTCAAATGTTCTTTATTTTTCTTCTTTCTTTCCTTCTTTCTCTCAAGTTCTTCTGCAGCATAGCCACCATGCTCATTCGACTCAATTTTGTCATCAAGATAATCTGGTACGCATTCTTGTTGCACAGAAGGAAAATCGCCCTTGTTATTCATAGCTTCACCAGAAGTGCCACGCAACCACTTTTCATCTTTGATGTCCTCTTTCCTTTTTTCCTTTTCTTCCTTTCGGCCTTCCCTGTATCATCAGCTTCCAAATTCTGACTATGTTGCCCAAACTCGTTTATATGTTTCTCTTCCTCCCTCTCAAAATTTACTTCGTCATGTTTTCTTTTTGATTTCTTCTTCTTCTTCCTCTTATTGTTATTGTCTTCAGTACTCTTCTGTTCGGAATTACTTTCTCCATGCAGCTTTTGCTCAACCTCACTTTGTTGAACTTCTTTAGCATTGTTCATCACATCTCCACTGCCATCCTCACCACGGTCCACATGAAGTTGCCTTTTTTTTCCAAATCTTCATTGATGTAAGCTTCAGCATCTTCAGCCCCCTTATTTTTCTTCTTCTTCGTTACCTTTTTTCTTCGTCACATTTCCAGTGTTGTATGCTCGAATTTGTCCATCTATGTTCGACCAATTATTACAAAAAGTTATTGGGAGCGAACCGCTAGATGTTTAAGCGATAGCGTCAATTTTGAACTGAACAACTAATTTTCCGATTTTGCGTCTAGAACTAGAATAAATTAACCCTGACTCCCTAACTTCTCTATCGTTGTTGATTCTTGTATTTGAGTTGATCTCTATTTTTGCATTTTCTGATTTTTATTAGTTACTGGTTCAAACCGCTTTCCTGGATTCGAGTGTTTAGGTTTTATTTTTCTTATGTGCGCGAACAACACCGATTTAAAATTTTGAACCGCTTCCTCGAGAGATCGACCCGAGGTCGTGAGTCATCCCGTACTCGGTAAAATTTTAATTTGCTACAACAAATGGTAAAATAACTAGTCTTGCATTGATTTAAACATGGAATTTGGTAATGAGTTTATAAATATGGACATATTTATCTCCAATTGGTACGAGTCCAAAAACAAAATCATGCATGATAACTTGATTCCGAAGGCGGACGATCATACAAGAACTACTGTACTAATAGATCAACCTACTAATAAGATTTAAAAATTGCAACAATGAAATGTTATTTGGTGGTCTCCCAAATAGCATATGTTCGTTTTTATTTTATTTTTTTGTACAGGGACTTTCCGGTTTCCGGATCCACATGGAAACCGTCTAATCCGGAATCGAGCCGGGTAGACCACAAGAACGGCAAAGCTCTCCCTCAAGAGTTTTAACAATGTTGCATTCACAGGGTTCGAACACGAGACCACTTGTTAAGCTGGAAGAGACACAAGTCATCTCATCCAAGTTGTTTTTAATTTCATGTTTTCAGTGCCATACTTGTACGGTGTACGTACATTCCTTGAAATTCTACAGTTGCACCCACATGCGTGCGTGATTAGCAACATTGTTTTTTTTTTCTTTTGCCGATTTAATTAGCAACATTGTGACTGTTGTAAATTTTCATAATCATAATAATAATTAAAAAAAACACAAACAACAAACAAACAAGACAGCTTAGGGCATCTTTTAGTAAAACTTTTTAAAGGGGCTTAAAAATGTCAACATGTGAGATTGTTGGTATCGTATTGGACAGTTTTAATGTTTACATTTGTAAACCAGATTTGAAAAATCAAAACCCAGCAAATTCTTGAAAATAAAAATCGAAAAACAAATGAAATAAAACAATGCGTGAAGTACACTCACCAAAATCACGTATGGGTGCATGGCCAATACATGGCACACACGGGCCACACATCACCCTTATTGTTGGAATATCGTTTGTGAGTTGTCCTACATTGATTTTTTATAGAGAATGAGCCTAGTATATAAGCCTAGTGGGCTACTCCTCTCATCAGCAATTGGTTTTGAGATGGAACCTCACTAAGGTGCACCTAAGTTTACCCTCTTATGGTGCAGTTCACTTAGTGAGACCGCACTCTCTTCCCCACATTCTAATTACTTATTACGTGTTATTTTCACTTTTAATTAATTTTTTGTTTTATTTTTATCCAATTGTATGTGGCCCTGTGGCCGTGAGAGTGATACATCACACTGTAAATGACCAAAATTGATCTGATTAGGTTCGGATAAAAAGGAACCAAAATTAATTAAATTTGTCAAATTATTGGATTTAGTTTGAAAGTGGTCAATGACATGAAAAGTTTTTGGACAGTGACTAAATTATGTGGCCAATTTTAAATTTTTGCCGATAAAATTAACATTGACTCTTGTCTTGGGCTTATTGTTGGGAAAAATACGCTGAAATTTTCATGAAGTCGGATCAATAAAAGTGAAATAAAAAAGAAAAACTGGACACGCCAAATTGATAACGGAGTTCGGCCAATAATGTCTACGTCTCTGGACTACTGCAGATATTTTATTAGGAGAAAAGAAAACACTCATGTTTACAAAACACTCGCAAACTCACTCACAACTTACAACTCAAATACACACAAAAACTAAATTTCTATTAGCTCTCTCGCTCTCTCTTTTCTTTCTTGTATTTGGTTGTTCTTGGTGTTGTCCGTGTTTCACAAAATAGCCTCCTTTTATAGCTGAGAAATTGGATGTTGAAATTCTCCTCCAGCCACCAAAGCCACCAAAATTAATGTAGCCACCAAAGCCACCAAAATTAATGCAGCCACCATAATTAATTCAGCCACCATAATTTAATGTAGCCATCAAGAATTAATGCTGCCAACAATCTCCCACTTGAGGATTGGTTTCAATCTGTCATCACACATCAATACTGCAGTAGTCTTCTCAGTCTGTTATCCTAGCAAGCCAACTGAAGTTGAGCACAACTTCAGTTTGTCAATGGTCACCACCTTCGTTAGTATATCTGCTGGGTTCTTGCTTCCTACAATCTTCTTCAAAGTCAACACTTCATCCTCAAGAAGAGATCTGATGAAATGATATTGAATGTCAATGTGCTTAGTTCTGGAATGAAACACTGAGTTCTTTGCCAGATGTATTGCACTCTGACTGTCACTGTGCAAGACACTCTCCTTTTGAGTGAAACCCAACTCTGCTAACAATCCTTGAAGCCATATCAATTCTTTGTTGGCTTCTGTCACTGCTACATACTCAGCCTCTGTAGTGGATAGAGCAACAATCTTTTGTACACGCGACATCCAACTAACACTGTAGTCCCGACAGTGAAAACATAACCGGTGGTGCTTCTTCGGTGATCAACTTCACCTCCAAAGTCTGCATCTACGTAACCCTGTAGCTTTAGATCACATTTTCTAAAATGCAGACACTTTTCTGTTGTGCCTCGTAGATATCTCAAGATCCATTTGACTGCTTCCCAATGAGCTTTTCCTGGTTTTGACATAAACCTGCTCACAACTCCCACTGCATGGCCAATGTCTGGCCTCGTACAGACCATCGCGTACATCAAACTTTCAATGGCTGATGCATAAGGAATCTTAGCCATGAACTCTTCTTCTTCCTTTGTTTGAGGAGACTGGTCCTTGGATAGACGAAAATGGCTAGCCAAAGGTGTACTGACTGACTTAGCCTTGTCCATGTTAAATCTCTGCAAAACACGGTTGATGTACTCTGCCTGAGATAACTGCAAAACTCCATTTTTCTTATCTCTCGTTATTTGCATTCCAAGAATCTTCTTTGCAGGGCCTAAGTCCTTCATGTCAAATTCTTTTGACAACTGCATCTTTAATTTTCTGATATCTTTCATATCTGATCCCGCTACTAACATGTCATCGACATAAAGTAGCAATATGAGATAGCTGGACTCATATTTCTTGAAGAAACAACAGTGATCAGCATTGCACTTCTGGAATCCTTCCTTGTGCATGAAGCTCTCAAACTTCCTATACCACTGTCTTGGAGCTTGTTTCAGGCCGTACAAGCTCTTCTTCAATCTGCACACCATATCCTTCTTTTTGTCTGAAAAACCTTCAGGCTGGTGCATATAGATCTCCTCATCTAGGTCTCCGTGAAGAAATGCAGTCTTCACATCTAATTGCTCTAGGTAAAGCTCTACACTAGCCACAACACTTAACACAGTCCTGATAGTATTGAGCTTTACAACTGGAGCAAAGATTTCAGTATAGTCAACTCCTTCTTTATGCTGAAATCCTTTGACAACCAGTCGGGCTTTGTATCTCTGGGAACCATCATGGTCTTCCTTCACGACGTGCCACTGCCACATGTCATGGAACTCTTGGCTTACTGTCCCAAGCCTCTCTCACCTCCAGAAGATGAGGGCAGTATCTCTGCGCCGAGATTTCCACCTGCTCGGCAAACGGCTTATGCCCATTCCACCCCAAATGTAAAGCCATCCGATTCCAACGCTTTCAGAACACTTTCTCATCCCTGCCCTCAACAACACCATCCCAGTCCACATCCTCCACGCAGGTCGCGTCCAGGCTATAAAGCCCGCCAATTAGGCGGTAGTCGTCTGAGTTGGCCCACACGCCCTGGGCCACCATGGACGAGGTCAGCTGCTTGTACCACTTCTTACAGCAAAATTCCCAAGTACGGGTTGACAGCTTATCACTAATTGATGTCCAGAAGATATTGCCACGCAGCATCCCGTACTGGGACTTCTTCTCTTCCCCAAGCTTCACCTGCAGGTCAATGTTCACGAGGTCAAACAGTTTCTGGTACTCGTCCTGAGACCAGTGCCCTTTCTTGCGGTTGACCAATTTTATCCTCCGCCAGGCGTTACTCACATGGATATCGCACTTGCCGAGCTTGTCTGCCAGCTTCTTCCATTACCTGTCGTGCTCCTCATAGAACTTAAGGACCTCCTCATACTCTTCCTCAGTCCATTTCCTATTAGAAGACCTGCGGAATAGAATCTGCGTACGCCTGTAGACGGAAAAGGTGGGTCTGTGTGGTATGGAAGACCCGATCTCTTTCCAACAGCCCCTCACCTCGGGGTGCTTTCTACAGTTGAGGACCATGTCCAGGCCTTCGTCACCTAAGTCGTGGCTCAGTATATAGTCGTTAACAGCAGCTTTGATGATCTCGTCCTCTGCAAGCATGAACCGCTTTCCTCTAACTAGATTATCTCCCTCCATAGTCCCTTTCGCTGGATTTGAATTGACTGGAGAGGGTAAAACCTCAAAGTGATTAGAAAACCTCACATCTTTCTTACTTTTCCTAGGTGTAGTATAGCTTGACTCATTCTCCACTGGTTTGGTCATTGTCATTTTTTCTTTTTTTTCTCACGTGCAGCACCATTATCTCTAAACTCTTCAGAACCCTCTTCCGTTACTTCAGTATGTTTCTTCTTCTTCTTCTTCTTCTTCTTCTTCTTCTTCTTCTTAAAATTGTCTATGGGTTGTTGGAATTGATAGTTGATCGTGTCGGTCAGCTTTTCTTTTCTTTTCTCTTTTTATTTTTTTATTTGGTCTTTTCGTCTTCTCTTTTATTTGTCGAGTCGGTTGATTGTGTAGTACAACTTCCCTTCGCCGAGAGTCGACAATGGGACATTGTCTCATTTTAAGTGTGGGGGAGTTTTTGCATGTTTTATGTGGCTATTTGGTTGACCAGGTCTAGTTTCTCTTTTTAGGTTGTTTTAATTCTTTCTTTTGCGTGGTGGATCAGTCTAGTTTTAGGTTTCTATTCGTTTCTGAACTTGGATTATGGTGAATTGTAAGACTGATTGATAACGGTTGGTTGAATTTGAGAAGTTGTGATGATGTGATCGAGTAATGCATTTTGATCAATTGGCTTGGTTATTTTGAGGAACATATTTACATTGTGAGGTTTGAGCCTATTTTGTTTCTTGTATGATATTGGTCGAAATCTTGTCAAGTAGAATTTTCCTTGAGACTGGTTTGAAATAACTCGACTAGATTTGTGAAGCATGAATATGATTGAGGCATTTCTTGTATAAGCCTTTCCCTTTTTATTTTCGTAAATAACAGTCACTAGTCACCCCCTTTGAGCCTTGATCGATTTTGTTGATTAACCTCGTGATGATGATATTGAGTTGCGGGATAGTACTGGAGGTGATTGTTGATGGTATTGTATATATTTTTATTTACTTTGAAAAAAAAAACAAAAAAAAAAAAACAAAATGGGAAAGCCAAATGGATTATACTCCTAGCGCTCCGTCCACTAATATAGTGGATAAGAGCCATGAGTACGGGAAACCGGTCTAGGAGACTCGGACAGAAAACCCGAAGGCTAAACCTAGATAAGACGTCCAAATGGTTTTCGCAAAAAAAA